GAGAGCTGTAGGGAAAAACCGTGGTCTTTCTTTAGTTAGGGGGGAATCCAAAATAGTTAAAACTTGAGTGACCAAATACTTACTGCTTATCTCAGTTTTCTGATGAGTTACCATAATGAAATAATCTAGTCCAGAAATAAATGACTTGTCTTGGGGTTGCTATGCAAAAGAAGAAAAAAATGCTATTAAAAAAGTTATTAGTCAATGGCTGCATATAATAGAATACCTACCTAACTGTATTATTATGAGTTTATTTTTCTGACATATAAGAAGACTGAGAGAAGATGGTTACTGGTATTGGTTCAGTAGTTCAATTAATGTCCGGGTTGATGTCTACGATTTTCTTACCCTTCTCAAATGCTACTGAGAATAGCTTTCTCATGATTGGTTTGAATCTGCAATAATTTATCAATAACTTGTTTATAATCAAGGTATTTTTTAAAGTAAGAAAAAAGGAGAAAATGGGTTTTGGGTACTTAACAGAGTTCTGAACAACAAACTAGATTTAAGAATTTTAGACAAAGGGATAGAACAAGACCATGCAACTTTATAGTTTTCAAACAGATGAAGTTTTTCAGAAGTTAACAGTAATGAGTTATTGATATGAATTATAAGTTTAAAAACACCTATTAACCTAGAAAATAATATTTAATGAATATTTAATAATCATTACATTGAAAAATTCATCCAGTAAATATTTGAGCCTATGCATATGCATAGCACTGTACTAGGCCTTATGAGAGATGTAAAAACATGATATGTACTTCCTGCCTTCAAGAAACTCCTAAACAAGAATTTTTGGTATTACATTTTATATTTTATAACACTCTTTCATAGGTGTTCTTTCTTTTGAAATTTATAACTCCATGCATTAGGCAGATAAAATTTTTACCTGGTGAAGAAGTTGAGACAGACCCTGCTCTTGTCTCTCTGGCCATTACCACTTCAAGGTTCATTTCTTGACTGAGGGCTTTCTCCAAAGCCGTGGAAGGCAGCTCTGTCCCTGTGTGATCAGGGCAATTTGGAAATGCCTGGGAATTAACAAACTCCCACTCTAGCAGCCTTCACCCAGTGACTGGAAAGATTTGTTATGTAGATACCCCAGCTCGCTTGGCCTTCAGATGGGATAACTTTGAGACCTGTGTTTTCCCAGAGTTTTCTCATGGGATTATGCTGCAGTCATTACAAGTGGTAGCTGGCTTGATACCGCACCCTTTATTGACTGTTTTCCCTTCTTTGTCTCGCTTCCCCACCTCCTACTGGTGTTTCCTGCACCTCTTAGATAAACTGTTTGCAACAAAATCCTTGTCTCAGGTTTCTAGTGAGCATTTCCACTAGGTTATTTCCCCTAATACCTGCCCCGAAAGTGCCTGGCTTAATGAGGGGGGGCACACGATTCAAATCAAGCCAGTTGGAATCATTCACAGGGAATTTTGTCCAGTCTGAAACAGTGAGAAAGGAACTCTCTTCCTTCATCTTCCTTTCATTTTGGTTTTGGAGTAGTGTCCGGCACAAAGTAGAAACTTAATATTTCTGGAATATTTAATGAATCCAATTCCTACAATTTCTTTCCTGCCAACCTGCATTCATCATCAGCCATTAATTTAAAAATGTATGAAATAATGTTGCTATAGCATATCATAGTGTCACTGCATACTGTAGCAGTTAAGTGAATGGACTCAGGAGCTAGACTGTTTGAGATATAAACTCTGCCACTTGCCAGTTGTTTGACTGTGCTGGTTATTTGTCTGTTGTCTGTCAGTTCCATTCTCATTCTTTTACTCTCTCTATATTACAGAGTACTGGAATCCTAAAAATCGTTTCCCAGATTCACTTGCCAGTTTGTTTCCAGTTCAGTTCTGTTAATGGGAGATTCAAAGCCAACAGGATGGAAGGCATTTTTTCTTTTATTCTAGCTCCGGCCTCTGCAATGCTGTGCTCTACTACCGTGACTCCAAGAGTGACCTGAGCAGGGTGAAGGATGCATAATCCTCAATTATGCATAAGTGCATTTTTTCCAGTCTGATTAGAATTCCAGGCTTTAAAATTAGATGTATATTTTGAAAAGTGTATCTGAAAATTTCATAGTTTGTGAATATATTTTTAAATACAGTCAAAATACTAAGCCCAGTAACAACACGATTTAGAGGACAAAGTTGTAAATATGCCACCTTTATATTTATATGAGTATTTACACAAGAATTTGCGGTTTTAAGTCGTTATCAATCATTGAATTGATATAAGGTCAATATAGTATTAATATATCACAAATTTACTTTAGCAGAAAACACCTACACAAAAGCAGATACAAAGTTATTTTCAGCCGGGCACAGTGGCTCACGCCTGTAATCCTAGCACTTTGGGAGGCCGAAGCAGACGAATCACTTGAGGTTAGGAGTTTGAGACCAGCTTGGCCAACATGGTGAAACTCCACTCTACTAAAAATACAAAAATCAGCTGGGCATTGTGGCACATGCCTGTAATCCCAGCTACTTGGGAGGCTGAGACAGGAGAATCACTTGAACCTGGGAGGCGGAGGCTGCAGTGAGCTGAGATCGTGCCACTGCACTCCAGCCTGGGCGACAAAGTGAGACTCAGTCTCAAAAATTTACAAAAGGATGATTTGCTAGTATATGAAAGTGACAGATATTCATCTGAATATGGGCCAAATGAACAATTCTATTACAATTCAAGAACAAAACAAGGCTGGGTGCGGTGGCTCATGCCTATAATCCCAGCACTTTGGGAGACTGAGGTGGGTGGATCATGAGGTCAAGAGATCGAGACCATCCCGGCCAACATGGTGAAACCCTGTCTCTACTAGAAATACAAAAATTAGCTGGGCATGATGGCACGTGCCTGTAGTCCCAGCTACTTGGGAGGCTGAGGTAGGAGAATCGCTTGAACCTGGGAGGCAGAGGTTACAGAAAGCTGAGATTGCACCACTGCACTCCAGCCTGGCGACAGAGCGAGACTGTCTCAAAGGGAAAAAAAAAAAAAAACCCGCAGAGACTCTTATGGGGTCAGACCCTTGTAACAATTTAAATCTACTTATTCTTCCTACCCTTTATGCCATCGTTGTCATAGATTCTACTTGTCCAGTTTATAAAAATCCACAAGACATTATTATTGCTGTTTTAAGAAGGTAATATTCTTTTAAAATTTACATAATTACCCTTGATTATGCTCTTTTCCTCTTCCTAAGGATTTGAGATTATTTTCCTTAAGTAGGATTCCTGGCAGTGAATTCTCTCAACTTTTCTTTGTCCAGAAGCATCTTTATTTTGCTGTAATTCTTGAAAGCTTTTTCCCTGGATATGGAACTTGAGGTTAGCAATTTTTTTTTTCCTTCAGCGATCTAAAGATGTCATTCTATGGGATTCTGGTTTCCCTAGTTCTGTTGAAGAATCAGCATTTAGACTTACTGTTGCTGTTTTGAATTATTTGTCCTTTTTCCTCTGGTTCCTTTTAAGATTTTCTGTCTTTAGTTTTCAATACTTTTTATTATGATGTGGTCCAGATGATATCTTCTACTAGAGATGGTTTGACTTTTGCAATATTCTACCTATTGCTAACAGGGAGAAAGTTAAAGGATTATCTCAATCCAATTAGAGATTGAGCTGTGTCCAGGCTAAGCGGCAAAGTTTTAGTAAGACCCTTCCATCTGTGGCTTATTTCTGTTGCTCATACATTAAGACACTATCACACAGTCTTTTGATTAAGGGATTGACAGTCTCTGTCTCCTTAGCCCTGAAAGACTATGAAAAATTCATTTCTGTTCTTTGGAGGGTTTGAACTTGTGTCTCTACACTCCTGCCTAAACAAGTTCAAAAAATGTCAGATGTCTTCAGGAAAAGACAATGATGAGTTTGTGGCAGACCCCTCCCTCCAGCTGGACTTTTGTCCACTAAACACTGTGAAACCCTGGGACATTTAGCTTTGTCTTTTAGAAGCTTCTGGCACAACTCTCTCATCTCCCGTACCACCTTGGCATTCAGCTAATCTGTGGAAAATGGGCCATTATGGATATTTCAGAGTCCTTTAGTTTCCAATTGATTGTGCTAACACCCACCAATACAACTGACAGATGCTTGCTGGAGTCTCTTTCATTTAGTCAAAATCCTTCTACCTAGGCCAAGTTAGACTGACTTCAGTTCCATGCCTAAAATCTACAAAATGTTTTCAAAACTCATCAGCATACCTAGGAAGGGCTCTTTCCGGTCTGGAATTTTAATTTGAGTTATTTTTTTATTGCTTCAACAGATCTCCAATGTATTTTAAACATGATTTTTGCAACTTGTCATTTTTTTTCTAATTGTGGTAGAGGATTTTAGAACTAAGTAACTTTCTTGTGGACATTTAGCTGCTGCTGCTTCTAATTATTATTTTTGAGACAGCGTCTCACTCTGTATCCCAGGCTGGAGTGCAGTGGCTCAGTCATAGCTCACTGCAGCCCCTGTCTCCTCTGCTCAAGCTATCCTCCTGCCGTCAGCCTCAGTAGCACAGACTGCAGGCACGCACCACCGAGCCTGGGTAATTTTTTTTTTTTTTTTAGTAGAAAGGAAGTCTCACTACGTTGCCCAAGCCGGTCTGGAACTCTTTAGCTCAAGCAATCTGCCTGTCTTGGCCTCCCAAAATGCTGAGATTACACGTGTGAACTACTGCGGCCAGTTTACCATAACTCACAAAGACAGTTGTTTAAATAGGAAAACAAAATATATTTGACTAATTGTTTTGCATTGAAAATGTTAGCATCAGAATGAGAGGTTTTCATTCCTTCCTAACCTGTGCTTCACTTCTTCAAAAAGTGTTAAATTATTTCAGTAAATTGAATTTCTGGGGTGAGTATACAGTTAGGCTTCTGAATTGGTGATCTACCCACTAGTGGATGTGCCTGTTTCATACTTCAGTAGGCTGATGCTTACCCTCTCACAGCCTTTAAAACAATTTGAAAATATTAAGCGCTAACGTAAGATTTGTCTTTGAAAAACTGGGTGCAGAGTAACAGATTTTGGGTTTTTACATTATGAAACTCTAGAAAGCAATTATTTTATATGCAACTAACTTTACATAAAGTATACTTAGGGTTGGCTATGAGTTAATAATTATCAAAACTTTTTATTGCTTTGCAGAAGGGCTTAACAAAATAAGTGTATATTCACTTTCCATCAGTATTTTCCAATCTGGTTTTGTCCGGAATTGGTGGGTTCTTGGTCTGGTTGACTTTGAGAGTGAAGCCGCAGACCCTCGCAGTGAGCGTTACAGTTCTAGAAGATGGTGTGTCCGCAGTCTGTTCCTTCAGATGTTCAGATGTGTTCGGAGTTTCTTGCTTCTGGTAGGTTCATGGTCTCGCAGGCTTCAGGAGTGAAGCCACAGACCTTCGCGGTGTTATACCTCTTAAGGCGGCACGTCTGTAGTTGTTCATTCCTCCCTTCTGCAAGTATTCATTCCTCCCGGTGGGTTTGTGGTCTCGCTGGCCTCAGGAGTGAATCTGCAGACCTTCGCGGTGAGAGTTGCAGCACATAAAGGCACGATGAACCCTAAGAACGACCAGCAGCAAGATTTATTGCAAAGAGCAAAAGAACAAAGTTTCCAAAGCCTGGAAGAGGACCCAGTGAGTTATCTGTGGCTGGCTCACAGCCTGCTTTTATTCCCTTATCTGGCCCCACCCAGATCCTGCTGATTGGTCCATTTTACAGAGAGCTGATTGGTCCATTTTGACAGGGTGGTGATTGGTGCATTTACAATCCCTGAGCTAGACACAGAGTGCTGATTGGTGCATTTAAAATCCTTTAGCTAGACACAGAGTGCTCCACAGAAAAGTTCTCCAAGTTCCCAGTAGATCAGCTAGATACAGAGTACTGATTGGTGAGTTTACAAACTTTGAGCTAGACATAGAGCGCTGATTGGTGCATTTACAATCCTTTAGCTAGACACAGAGTGCTAGACAGAAAAGTTCTCCAAGTTGCCACTAGATTAGCTAGATACAGAGTACTGATTGGTGCGTTTACAAACCTTGAGCTAGACACAGAGTGCTGATTGGTGCATTTACAATCCTTTAGCTAGACACAGAGTGCTAGACAGAAAAGTTCTCCAAGTCCCCACTAGTTTACCTAGATACAGAGCACCCATTGGTGCATTTACAAACCCTGAGCTCGACACAGAGTGCTGATTGGTGCATCTACAGTCCTCCAGCTAGACATAAAAGTTCTCCAAGTCCCCACTAGACCCAGGAGCCCACCTGGCTTCACCTAGTGGATCCCACACTGGGGCTGCAGGCAGAGTTGCCCAGCGTGCCCTCACTCCTCAGCCCTTGGGCAGATGGGACTGGGTGCCAGGGAGCAGGGGGTGGCGCCCATCGGGGAGGCTTGGCTGCGTGGGAGCGCACCACAGAGGTGGGACTCTGACTGGAGGGCTGCAGGTCCTGAGCCCTGCTGCGCGGGGAGGCTGCCAAGGCCCTGGGAGAATTTGAACTCAGTGCATGTGGGCCGCCAGTGCTGGGAGACCCAGCGAAACCTCCGCAGCTGCCGGCCTGGGTGCTCAGCCCCTCACTGCCTTGGGCCTGTGGTGCCCTCCAGCAGCTCTGAGTGTGGGGCTCGCGGAGCCCGCACCCACCGGAACTTGCACTGGCCTGTGAGCCCTGTGGTAAGCCCGGGTTCTTCTCCCTCTACACCTCCCTGCAAGCAGAGGGAGCCGGCTCCAGGCGTTGGCCCGGGCTCCCGCAGTGCAGTGACGGGCTGAAGGGCTCCTCAAGCGCCCCCAGAGTGGACGCCGAGGCAGAGGAGGTGCTGAGAGTGAGGGTTGCTAGCACATTGTTACCTCTGTTTGATGACCACAGATTATGAAAAGTCAAATTTTTAGGAAAACTAAATAAATGCTAGGAATTTCAATAACTGGCATTAACACAGATCATTCCTGTCAGATTACAACTGCTCTAGATAAATTCCAGTTTATCAACAGAATAGCGATTTAGAGGTGTTAGAGGACTACTTTGGAAACAGCTTCACTAACTCATAGTTTATTGCCTAATGTTTATATTTTACAATTCATGAGATGCTGAACTCAGACAAAGTTTGGCAAGTAAAGTAATATACTGATATTATCTGGCAGGGAAAAATGCTGGTAAGGTCATTTTAATTAAAGAATAGTATGACTGAGCAATATTGTGTAATCTAAAGTTTAGTCTACATTATTATATTTGGGCTATCAACTCTATCCTAATGCTGTTTTGATTTTAAAACTTATTTATATCTTTTGGGACACGGTTTTGCTCTGTCGCCTAGGCTGGAGTGCCGTAGTGTGATCATGGTTCACTACGATCTCAACTTCCTGGGCTCCAGCTATCCTCCCACCTCTGCCTCCTGAGTAGCCGGGACCACCAGCGCATGCCAACATGCCTGGCTAATTTTTGTATTTTTGGTAGAGATGGGGTTTCGCCATGTTGCCCAGGTTGGTCTCAAACTCCTGAGCTCAGAGTCTTGCTCTGTCACCCAGGCTGGAGTGCCATGGTGTGATCTTGGCTCACTGCAACCTCCGCCTCCCTGGCTCAAGCAATTCTCCTGCCTCAGCCTCCCAAGTAGCTGAGATTACAGGCGCACGCCACTACGCGTGACTAATTTCTTTATTTTTAGTGGAGACGGGGTTTCTCCATATTGGCCAGGCTGGTCTCGAACTCTGACCTCAGGTGATCCACTTGCCTCGGCCTCCCAGTGCTGGTATTAACAGGCGTGAACTACTGCACCTGACTTCATTGGCACTCTTATAGTCAAGGGATTTCATATGACCCAAGTTACTTATTCTTTAAAATGAAATTATAATTTCCTGACTGCCCAACTGCATAAGTTAAAATGTGTTATTTTCCCACACTGTGATCACATATTCACAGAATTATAGAATCATATGATTTAAGAGCTGAATTCTACCTTGGAGATTATCCCATAAACTTCAATTTATTGTCTATCAATCTAAGGCCTAGAGAAGACCAGGCACGGTGGCTCATGCCTATAATCCCAGCACTTTGGGAGGCCTAGGCAGGTGGATCACCTGAGGTCAGGGGTTTGAGACTAACCTGACCAACCCGTCCCTACTAAAAATACAAAATTACCTGGATATGGTGGCGCATGCCTGTAATCCCAGCTACTTTCGAGGCTGAGGCAGGAGAATCGCTTGAACCTGGAAGGCAGAGATTGCAGTGAGCCAAGATCATGCCATTGCACTCCAGCCTGGGCAACAAGAGTGAAATTCCATCTGAAAAGGCCTAGAAAGGCTAAGTGAACCATTCAAAAGCACAAGCCCTGGCTGGGTTCTAATTTACGCATTTTTTAAAAAATGAAACACACAAATATTTTCCTCTATATCATTTTGATACATGTTTCACCTTGATACATGTTTTAGAAATGTGTATCATTTTAATAGAAATAAATTTGTGGACTTTTTAGAATATATACAATTGATATGTTCTTGAAAAAGTGGCTTTAAAACTGTTTGAGAAATACAATCTTACTTGGCATTTAGGACTACAACACAATTAAAACAATGAGAAACACGTTTAGTATTAACTCTTTAATGGACATTTTAGTTTTCTGATAAAGTCATAATAGTGTGGCAAATAATTCATAGTATAGTGAACTGGCCTTATGTTTTGAGTGTGTGTATTTAATTCATCTTTTGAGAATTAAATTTAGGACTAGATTTTTTGTGCTACCAGATTCTGTATATATTTTTCACACAAAAAATGGGGTTGTTCTGTAACCAAAAACTGTATGTGATCTCAGCTAAGCCTTATTTCTTTTATTACTTTACTGTGCCTCTTAATGGTACTTTTAAGTCAGGAAGTGTGTTATAAGAGTGAAGTCTTGGCAGCGATGGTAAAAGTAGGTTAAATATAGAAATGTTTTCCTTTTCTCTGCTGTTATGGAGAAGAGAATGGTAATTGATATTAGCAGGGGTGGTTCCTTCCCTGCTTCCTTGTGGGCTGTAAGGAAAGGATCAGTTCCATGCCTCTCTCCTTGGCTTGTTGATAGCCATCTTCTTCCTGTGTCTTTTTCACATCATCTTACTTCTATGGCTGTCTCTGTCCAAATTTCCCCTTTTAATAAGGACATCAGTCATACTGGATTAGGGGCTCACCCTATTGCAGTGTGAGCTCATCTTAACTAATTATTTCTGCAGTGACTATATTTCCAAGTAAGATCATCTTCCGAGATACAGGGTGTTAGTTAGGACTTCAACATAGAAAGTTGGTGGGGGGAACACAATTCAACCTATAATCCTTAGGTGAGCTGAGCATCTACTCTTAGCTTACCCTTGTGGTCCTTTGCCTCTCCTAGGCATCAACTACTGGGAAGTGATTAAAACATCTTTCTGGGTCAGGAGCAGTGGCTTACACCTGTAATCCCAGCACTTTGGGAGGCTGAGGCAGGCAGATCTGAGGTCAGGAGTTTGAGACCAGCCTGGCCAACATGGTGAAACCCTGTCTCTACTAAAAATACAAAAATTAGCTGGGCATGGTGGCACGCGCCTGTGATCCCAGCTACTCAGGAGGCTGAGGTAGGAGAATCGCTTGAACCCCGGAGGCGGCGGTTGCAGTGAGCTGAGGTTGAGCCACTGCACTCCAAAAAAAAAACCTTTATGAAAAATATACCCCAAATCCAATCAGTTGCTAGTTTAAGTGATGGAATAGAAAGAAAAGAGATCTAAGAATCATGATTCTTAGAAAACAGAAGTGCTAGAATAGAATGTAAACTTCAGTTAGTGGCTCTGATTTTGGATGTGAATAAATTCACTATTTGCATTACAGTAACATTAAAAAAAAAGCAGGTTGTGAAGCCATCCTATTAAATTACACAAATAATGCAAAATTCCTCAAGTGAAATAAAACTTTAGTGAACATTAAAAAGTTGATTAACTTGTAGTGAGAGATTATTCATGTAAATAAGTGACTCACATCTATTACCATTGTCCCTTTGACTACAGTTTCGGACTCATAGAAAAGAATGAACACAGTGAATTGATTTCTAACCTTACCTCATTTATACCACGCTATCAACACCGCTATCTAATGTGGAAACCTAATTATTTCATTTTCCCCAGTTTTCCACTGGGGAGATAAGGACTAAATTCCTTTATAAGCTGCAGGTTGAGTACCATCATCATTAAGTTCCTGTAATACTGAACTACTACTAATTGATCCCCAAACAAGCCAGGTTCTCTCAAAGGCCTTTCTGTTTTTTGTTTCCCTCTGCTTGAAATTCTCCAATCCACCTCTACTCAAATGCTACTTTCACAGAAGGGTTTTCCTATTTCCCTACACAGTCTTTAGGTGACTGTCTTATGCTCTCATTAATGAACAATTTTAACTAATGTTGTACTGTTTCCTATTTTTGTCTCTCTACACTAAATTTTTGAGGGCACAGGCTATGACTTTTCATCTTTGTATGTCGACTGCCAAGCTCAATGCTTGGCATATTCAATATACAGTTCTTGAGTAAAGGCCCAGTTTTTATATAAACACAGTTTACTTTATGCCATAATTTTAAAAATTCTAAACATAAAACTTAAAAATACATTTTAAAAGTGTAATGCATTAGTCTCTCACTAACTGATATTTGAATAAAGTAGTATGAATTACTTGGTTAATTTGGATTTTTGGGTGTTTTTGTAACTGATTTTGTAGGTATTGCAACTTAAGGCAGAAAAGAGAATGTTACCAGCTAAGGATTATGATTAACAAAATTCTGGGACACTTAAATACAAGAAAATACATTTTTTTCCTGTTTGAAAAACCGCAACTTTATTTTTTTTGTGGTAAAACATACACAACATAAAAGTTTCCATTTTACCCATTCCAAAGTGTATAATTCACTGGCATTAAGTATACTCACAATGTTGGACAACCATTATCCATTTCCTAGGAAAATACATTTTTTAAGATCTCATTTTTATTAGTAAACATAGATAAACAACTGCTGGTTTTCAAGTACTCTTATGATAACCATATATAAGCCAAAGAGCATAGTCTAACAAGTGCCAATGAACTTACGGAAAAATTAAGACAAAATATTTAAATTTCTTGAGTCATGCAACCTATATGCCAAAAGTGGGGGGAACCCCTCAAAACTAAATACCACAGAAATAGTACACCAGGATGTCAATTAAAGTCCTCTACCTTGGGAAAAGCAGCTTGTGACGCTGGTAAGCAGTAAGGTAATGTAGCTTTGGCGCGTTCTCCCTATACTAACACGGAGGTTCTTAACCCGCGCTTGGAGGAGCCTGTAAAATGTGGCGACATGCCGTTTGGAGGATATACGCAACTGGGGGTGGAGTAGGGAGCATGGCATTGCTTTTATGCGATTCTCAATTTTTAAAAACTGTCACACTAGTAGGATGAGGCAGTGAATGCCCAGGCGAAGGCCAGGCCAGCCAAAGACAGGGAAGCCGCCGGGCTCCGAGCTCCCGGTGTGCGGCGTCGGGGCCCAGGCGCTTGGGGATTGGAATTCCGGACCCGGCAGGAGGGGGCGGGGCCGGGGGAGACAAGGCGCCGCCTCCGCCCCTTCGGGACCCGGAGGGTGCCCTTGTTTACCTCCCAGTATTTGTCACCCGAGACAAAGAGGGAAGGAAGGAGGGGCCTTCTGAGGGAAACTCCCTCGGCGGGAAGCACCTACTTTCAGAACGTTTTGTAACACCCCACGGGACGCGGGAACGGCTCCCTCCCGGCCCCCCGCGCCCTTTCCGAGGTTCCCTGCCTTGACTTCCCCGAGTTCTACGCCAACCTCAGCAACAGCGGGAGGAGCTGGGCAATCGGTTTTGCAGTGCAAACTCCAGGCTCTCCCCATTTATTCTCTGGGCGGCTCAGGGGAGACTCTGCAGGGTCACAGAGCAGAGCGACTACAGCTCCCAGGAGCCAACACTGCAGGGCTGAGCCGAGGCGGGACACAGACAGGACCTAAATGGTGGTCGGAGGAAGGGCAAAGCGGACCTCTGCTGTTACCTTAGCGCCAGCAAACCGAGCCGCCGCCTTCGCCAAGCCAGGAGACCAACCCCCTGTCTCCCGACTAGGTATTTTTAAATCTGGCGGGGCTTTCCCTCCCGAGCCAACCACTCCCACCGTTTACAGTCCCAGCCAGTCAGCGTGAGGCCCGCCATTTTTCAAACCCTCTTCCCGCCGCCAATCAGGATCGAGCAGTACATTCCTCTCCTGACCGGTTCTAACGGGTCTGGGAGTTAACGACCTGGGCGACCCACCGAACCTGCTAGGCTGGGGCGTGGAGGGCGGGTCTGGTAAGACACTGACCAATCGTTAGCCGCCGTGGCAAGGGGGCGGGGACTATCTGGGTTTGAATAATCGTCAGAACCAATCAGAGAAGTGGGGATGTGGCCTGTGGCCTAGCTCGTCAAGTTGCCGTGGCGCGGAGAACTCTGCAAAACAAGAGGCTGAGGATTGCGTTAGAGATAAACCAGTTCACGCCGGAGCCCGGTGAGGGAAGCGTCTCTGTTGGGGCCGGCCGTTCTGCAGGACTCTGAGGAAAAGCTCGCACCAGGCAAGAATACCCTCCAATACCCTCGGGTTCGTGGACCTGCCTTTCCCCATTCCTTCAGAGCCTCTACTCGGTCTCGGCGCTGTGGCTCTCGGTGTCTGACCCGGCGAGCGGCATTTGGGGTGCGGGCCGGAGAGGGCCGGGGCTGTAGAGGGCCGGCGGGCAGTCGGAAGAGGCGGAAACTGCCCCCGCCCGGGCCCGGTTCTGGGAGTTTTCAGTGTCGGTCACGAGGTGATTAGCGATTGAGTGAGGCTCGCGACGTGAAAGCCGGGGGACATTTCTGTCAGGAAAGGCGTCTTGAGGGCGCTTGCGGAGTCGCCGGACTCGTTGAAGGGCGGGAGGCGGCGTCTCGGGCCCCGGGAGCCACTTGCTGGGCGAGCGTGAGGAGTCAGCCGCGGCCGCTCGGGCCGGGAGGAGGAGGAGGAGGAGGAGGAGGGTGTGCGCCGGGGCGGGGGCGCGGGCGGCCGCCCTCGGGAGGACGCCCTCGGGAGGAGGGGGGCGCGGGCAGGGCGGGAGCGGATTTGGGCGGGAAGCGGAGCCCCGCCAGCGCCCGCCCTGGCAGCTGCGGGCTCCGCACCGACCCGCCGGCTTCCCCTCTCCCCCCTCCGCCCCGTCAGGTGGACGCCGATCTGTCACCATGGGTAAAGGAGACCCCAACAAGCCGCGGGGCAAAATGTCCTCGTACGCCTTCTTCGTGCAGACCTGCCGGGAAGAGCACAAGAAGAAACACCCGGACTCTTCCGTCAATTTCGCGGAATTCTCCAAGAAGTGTTCGGAGAGATGGAAGGTGAGGCGGGAGAGGGGGTGCAGGTGTGGTTTTCGGCCAGGAGGGCCTTAGGCAGGTAGGTAGTAGGCAACCCAAGAGCTTCAACTTTGCCACCCCCGATGACTCACCTGAATATCTTAAGAGTTTGAGGCAGACGATTTTAGGTTTTTACTTACATAAGACTTCGAAAGCAAAAGGCTAGGAAAATGTGCTCCTTAAAGATGATCTTCTCGTCTTTGGATGTTTATAGATAACAATTTTGCTGTATTCTTGGCGCTTATTTTTATGTCCACAGACCATGTCTGCAAAGGAGAAGTCGAAGTTTGAAGATATGGCAAAAAGTGACAAAGCTCGCTATGATAGGGAGATGAAAAATTACGTTCCTCCCAAAGGTGATAAGAAAGGGAAGAAAAAGGATCCCAATGCTCCTAAAAGGCCGCCGTAAGTTTAAAATAAACCAAATTGCCCCGTGGATTTTTCCTTCAGTTTATTAAGCTCTGTTGCTTCCTTTCAGATCTGCCTTTTTCCTGTTTTGCTCTGAACATCGCCCAAAGATCAAAAGTGAACACCCGGGCCTATCCATTGGGGATACTGCAAAGAAATTGGGTGAAATGTGGTCCGAGCAGTCAGCCAAAGATAAACAACCATATGAACAGAAAGCAGCTAAGCTAAAGGAGAAATATGAAAAGGTACATTGTCATCTTACTTTTTTAAAGCTGTGATTAAGACTAGGTCTAGGGAATAACTGTAGAAAACTTGGGAAATTTAGTTAATCTTGTATTAATTAACGGTTGTCAGCTATGTTTTGAAAAGGCCTAATGAAAATTTTACACTTAAACACAAAGTAATCAAACCTTCCTTTTGAATGAAACCGGTGTTTGTAGCACTAGTATATTCCTGCAGACAGACTTGTAGTTACTGTGTAGTCTTTTTTTTTTTTTTTTAAAGCAGAGGGTCAAATAAATTGTTTTATGTATATATATATAAAATATGAAGGTACAGCAGGGACTATGGCACTGTGTGTGAGGTAAAAGAGTATTGTTAGTGAAAGTACTGATACTGCTGTATTGCAACCCTTGTCATTTTACACCATTAACTTGTTAAAGCCTAGAGGGATAAGTGCTCTTAACACTTAGACTGGCTACCTTTTGGACAGTTATCAGGGTTATTGGTCAATCATCTTCGATTGTTTACAAGTAAGTGGTTTTCACAGTTGAGTAATGACACCGGATGCTTACTTTATTTTTTTTTTAACAATATTTCAGGATATTGCTGCATATCGTGCCAAGGGCAAAAGTGAAGCAGGAAAGAAGGGCCCTGGCAGGCCAACAGGCTCAAAGAAGAAGAATGAACCAGAAGATGAGGAGGAGGAGGAGGAGGAGGAAGATGAAGATGAGGAGGAAGAGGATGAAGATGAAGAATAAATGGCTATCCTTTAATGATGCGTGTGGAATGTGTGTGTGTGCTCAGGCAATTGTTTTGCTAAGAATGTGAATTCAAGTGCAGCTCAATATTAGCTTCAGTATAAAAACTGTACAGATTTTTGTATAGCTGATAAGATTCTCTGTAGAGAAAATACTTTTAAAAAATTGCAGGTTGTAGCTTTTTGACGGGCTACTACATAGTTAGATTTTACAGCTTCTGATGTTGAATGTTCCTAAATATTTAATGGTTTTTTTAATTTCTTGTGTATGGTAGCACAGCAAACTTGTAGGAATTAGTATCAATAGTAAATTTTGGGTTTTTTAGGATGTTGCATTTTGTTTTTTTAAAAAAAATTTTGTAATAAAATTATGTATATTATTTCTATTGTCTTTGTCTTAATATGCTAAGTTAATTTTCACTTTAAAAAAGCCATTTGAAGACCAGAGCTGTGTTGATTTTTTTTCAGTATTTCTGCCTAATAGTTCTTAGACACAGTTGACCTAGTAAAATGTTTGAGGATTAAAAGAAAACCAAACATGCTCATATTTGCAAAATGTTCTTTAAAAGTTATATGTGGAATTCAGTGAACTTTGTAAGAATTTATGCAGTTTTACAGAACGATTAAGTTTTATACTTGACATTTCTGTTTGTTCATTAGCTAACTTGTTCCTCGGGCATTTTTCTTTTTTTTTTTGAGATGGAATCCCACTCTGTCACCCAGGCTGGAATGCAGTGGCACAATCCCAGCTCACTGCAACCTCTGCGTCCCAGGTTCAAGTGATTTTTCTGTCTCAACCTCCCTAGTAGCTGGGGGTACAGGCATGTGCCACCAAGCCCAGCTAATTTTTTTGTATTTTTAGTGGCCTCATGTTGGTGAGGCTGGTCTCGAACTGACTTCAAATGATCCGCCCACCCTCAGCCTCCCAAAGTGCTGGGATTAACAATATACTGCGCCAGTATATTGTTTAACAACAGTTTATTTTGGGTAAGAAATTCTCTTTAATGTGAAGAAGAAAGCTAGAATGTGAATTCATATCTAAAAGGACAAACTGAAAAAAAATTCAATAATAAGATTAAGTTTTCTGCTATTAAGTTGAGCTATTTCAAGATAGAATACCAGATTAGGTTTCGAGTTACAGTAGTCCCTCCTTATCTGTGGGGTATAAGACCCACAGTGGATGCCTGAAGGTGCCAAGAGTACTGAAACCTTGTTTTTTCCTATACATAACTGTGATTAATTTAATTTATAAATTAGGCACAGTAAGAGATTAACAGCAATAATGAGAACATTTATAACAAGTTACGTGAATGTGGTCTCTGAAAATACTGTACTGTGGGAAAGTGAAACAATGGTAAGGGAGGACTACTGTGTATCTTCATTTTGGTCTTAAGCTTTAGAATTATGGGTAACTAAAACCGTTTGAGATGTTATATTCCATGACTAATTTAAACTTACCTAGGAATTGTATTATTTATGGGGAAGGCAGTTATTTTAAAAATGCTTGTTTAAGGAAGCAGTTGCTGTATTTGAATTAAGATAACTCAGTAGAGGTTATTAGTGAAGGTTGACCAGGTTGGCTACGTGCTTATAGAAGTAAGCTATTTGTTGACAATTTTAGAGTTAAATTTGACAGTCTTGGTTACCTACCAAACTTTAAGATAGAAGTCAAGATTTCTGTTACCCAACCGTGAGAGCTTTGGTTGTCTTATGTCATATTTGATAAGGATAGTCCTCTGTTAAATAGTGTGATATTAGAACAAATGGACTTAAGTAAAATCTTCAGTCATCTTTATGATTGTCCTCTATTATATTCTGAGTGGGAGAGGCCTCCCAAAGCCATGAAAGAATTAATAAATTGGCCTACCTAAAAATAAGAAATCTTACATTCAGACTTGGGGCTTTCACTTGCCATAAGATGAAAACTAATTTTCAGTGTTTCCCTGTGTTAGGTGACTTAATATGCTAAAACATTTGGGGTAATCTATTTTAGATACATACCTGTGTCTTGGACCTAGTTCCCTAGCTCTACCAAATGCTAGCAGTATGAACTTTATGTACTTACAGTTTTTTATTGTCGAAGTGTTATTTTAAAGTAGTAACTATTGCATAAAGGATATCAGATAAGAGTTTCTAAAACCGAAATAGAGTAATAGTTTGTTTCCTTAAGAATTTCTAAATATATTAATTAGATCCAAGAGGCACACCTGTTGGGTTCCTTGTCACCTTTCTTGGAGCCTGTGACTTCTTTCATTCTCTTTTCCATAAAATATATTTAAGTTTCTAAGCTAAGAACAACTATTGTTTTAATCAAGAGTACCTCCAGAATGAACTCAGGATTTGAGATAGGTCCTTCCTGGCTCATGTTTGATATTCTTTTAAGTGTGGATCAAAATTCAATCTCAAAATTCTCAGTAATCAAGACCAGGTGACTTCAAGGAGTGAACACACTGGAAAGCACTGAAATGAGGGCAAGAATTAGATCTCACACCAGCCACAATTTGGAGGTGTGTTTCTGAAATCTTTTTTCTTTTTAAAAACATATCTTAATAATTCAGAATGTAAAAGGATATGTAATAGTTTATACCCTTTCTTGATTCTGCTACCCTGTCCCAGGAGGCAACACCAACAATGCAATAATCTATCCTTTAAGGAAGACATAGGTGTAAAAAATATATGTGTGTGTTTGTTACAGTGTTACATAGAAGCTTCCTATATACAAGTATATTCTTCATCTCACCATTTTGGAGATTGTTTTCAGTATGACAGAGTAACAGAGCTGCCATTTTCCTTTAAATAGCTATCTGTATAGTATCCCATTGAATAGATAATAATTTAACCAGTTCCCTAAGGATAATAGGATAATTACAGTTTTTGTTTTGTTTTTGTTTTATATAAATATTTTTTAAGAACACCATTGCTGGGTATGGTGGCTCACGCCTATAATCCCAGCACTTTGGGAGTCTGAGGTGGGAAGATCACTTGAGCCCAGGAGTTTGAGACTAGTCTAGGCAACATAGACCTTGTCTCTACCAAAAATACAAAAATTAGTTGGGCATGGTGGTGCATGCTTGTGGTCCCAGCTATTTGGGAGGCTGAGGTGGATCACTTGAAACTGGGATGTCCAGGCTATAAGCTATGATTGTGCCACTGCACTCCAGCCTGGGCAACAGACCAAAACGTGGTCTGAAAAAACAAAACCATGTGATGTCATGTGAAAAAAGACCTACAAGTGAAGTAGCTGGGCCAAAAGACATGCACATTTAAAAATGTGCTAATTATACTAGCTAAAACCTGTACTTAATATATGCCAGAAACTGCTCTGGTGCTTTGTTAACGGAGCCTGCTAAACAAAACTGCTTGTCAATAGAAGTTGTACTATGCTAAGCAATGAAATGTTTTAGAGCGCCTGTTTCCTCATCTCAGCAACATAATAGTTCTCAAACATCTTAGTCTTTGTTATTCTGATACAGATAAAATGTTTTCTATTATGAGTTTAGTTGTTTCTTTTTTTTTATGTTTAAGCGCCATTTGTGGAGCCTAGCGCGGTGGCTCATGCCTATAATCCCAGCACTTTAGGAGGCCGAGGCAGGCGGATCACTTGAGGTCAGGAGTTCGAAACCAGCCTGGCCAAAGTGGTGAAACCCTGTCTCTACTAAAATACAAAAACATTATCCGGGTGTAGTGGCAGGCACCTGTAATCCCAGCCACTTGGGAGGCTGAGGCAGGAGAATCGCTTGAACCCGGGAGGTGGAGGTTGCAGTGAGTAGAGATCACACCACTACACTCCAGCCTGGGTGACAAGAGCAAGACTCCGTTTCAAAAAAAAGAAAGAAGAAAAAACCATTTGTATTATTTCCTGTGGTCTTTTCTCATTGGTCTTTTTATTAATAGCTTTTGGTAATACCATATATTAAGGAAAATGACCTTTTTGAGTTTATGATGCTTTTTTCATGCAGAGATTATGTAGGCAAATTTAGCAATTCTTTCACTGAAAACTTTCCAGTGAGGTCCTTCCCACTCAAAGATCATAAATCTACAAGACTATAAAAACAATTATCCTTTGTTTTCTTTTTTTAAATTTTTGATTAAACCTTTGATCCTTCTGGAATTAATTTTGGTGCAAGGACTGAAGTAGGGGCTCACGTTTCCTTCCCAATGTCAACCACTACTTTTGGTCTTAATCTATAAAAGCAGGGCACTGGGTTAGAATTTCCTAAATTCTCTTATATATCAAAGCACTCACTGCAAACTTGATCAATAGAGGAAAGTATGCTTTTTTTTTTTTGTATTTTTTACCAGTTTCACTTACTGTAAATCGTAAGATTGTCTTACAATAGTAGAAAAATAGCATTATCTTAAACCTGGATTTTTATTACTAAATATATCACTAAAAATGCTTTACCAAGCAGTAATGATTTTATTTCTTGGGGAATAAAATCAAGAAAGCTAAAGGAGCTGCTATGCCACTGTGTAAGATCTAGTCCTTTAAAAATGAAATTTCATACCTCACCATGTTTGGATTAGTTCTTCATGAGATTCCTGTTGGAGACTGACAGTTTTAGAGAAAGGCAGAGTATTTATTGGCATTAGGACATGCCAAGACCTATAGAGACTAGCCAGGGAAAAGGACTGGATGTGGTGAAGTGAAGAACATTTCGAAAGTAAGCTCTGTGAGAGCAGTAAAACTTTCACTTTTGTATACTGCTTTGTCTGTAATGCAAGAAACAGTGTTCTATGCATGTTTGTAAATGTACAAATAACCAGGTTAAAGGGAATAGCCACCGTTTAGCTCAGTCCCATTGCTAGATGGAAATGTGAATATAGGATTCCCACATCTCTCAAATTTTCAAGTGAAACTAGAACTCTGTTGAATTCTGAATTTTAAATACAGTATTGGCAATGAATTCCAATTTTGGGGTCAAAACATGTCTATAGGTCAGACTCTGCCCAAAGGTCACTAGTTTGCCACTTCTATAAATTAAATAGTATAGGTAAATAAAAGTTTAATAATTTTTACTTGAGTCCGGTCCAAGGTTAATAAAAGTTTATATATACTTTACAGCTAACCATTGTTTTTATAGGTCAGAAACCCTCCTTGCCCTGATTGGAAACTCAACGTACCCTGCAGCAAAGGTAAATAAAAATGTTTCAATGGAACTTCATTGTGCTCCTGGGCCTTTATTCTTCAAGAGTTAACAGTGCAGACTTCTAGTGATCCTCATCCTGGGTGTTGCCACATCTACAGAATAGTGACTCAGGAGTGCAACAGACTGTCGCATTAAAAGGAAAGAAAAATAACTTTTCAGCTTATGTAGCACTAAATTTTGGAACTGGAAATGGCCTTTATATCATCTAGTCTTTCATTAGAAAGGCGGGACGAT